AGACTTATATATAAATGTTTAATTTCTATCATTCAAATATTTCACTAAATACATAATTTGAATATTGGAATCTTTTTTTAATACAAAGGTAAATTACAAACATAAATTCAATTAAATACCATTTGCATGAGAATTTTTGCATTGTATAATATGAAGGCATTTGAATGATGGAAATTAAAATGTTCTTAAATAAATAATTTTCCTTTTATCTCCAATTTTTGTACCAACCCATTGCAGGAACTCGTTTTTCAGGTAAGTATTTCAGAAGAAAAATGTCACTTTTCATGAGTAATTTATTTAATTGCTTCAATCACGCAATAAACAAAAATTTATTTTTTACAATAAATTTCGAAAGAAAAAAAAAGAAACGTCCAAATCGGCTGAATAATTAATTTATTATTTTATTAATATGGGAAATTATGAGTAAAATAAACAAGTCAATATATTAAAATATTATTTAATTTTACATTTAATGTATTACATTTATTTTGTCTAATTTATTAGTGTAACCTTTTACAATGTTTATTCTCACATATTTCAATTCCTATTAAAACCAAATTCAATTGTATGGAATGAAAGTAAGTTAGAGATCTACTAAAGTATCTTAAGCAAAAATTCCAATTTTTGCAAAAAGTAAATTGAATGAACAAAAAAAAAAATAAAATTTAAATATTAAAAATAGCTCACTTGAATACTTTCAAATGCTGCATAAACTATTCAGAAGGAATAATATATCAAAAAACAAGATGAATTTTTGTTGTTTGTTTATTTATTTTCTGTTTTTACTTAGTTATAAACATTACTCAAAGACTTTTTTATTAACCATTCAATATGAATACCTTTTCTTTTCAACTGTTTAATATTTAATTAAATTTTTGTATTTAATTAACTCAAAGCACAAGTCTATCTGACTGATGTGTAGCAATGTAACAAAAGTAAAAGAGCGAAATGATTAAAAAACTGTGAACAAAATCTTTTACTGTCCTTAACGATTCAATAATTTATTGTGTTTATCATTGAAACGAGACAAATAAATAAAGATAGAGAAAAAATTTTGGAAAATTAAAATCAAATGTACGATCAAATTTTCTATGTTACATTCTTCAAGAGATGATCGACATAATTGACATTAAATATTAGAAATCCCCAAAATGAATTCACATTTTTAAACGTTCCATTTCAATTCAAACAATGTTCAAATCCAGGACTGATTAAAATGTCGCATTTATCTTTCTGGCTTTTATGTTTTAGATAGAATTTGTTTTTATTATATTTTCTGTTTTTATTATCAAGAGGTTATATAATTAATAAAAAAATGAACGAAAATAAAAATTATAGAATCAAATTTTGAGAAAGAACAAATTGAAAAAAAGTATGTAATGGAAGAAATGCAAATATGAATAATTTTTAGAATTGAGAAATTCTAAAATGAACAAATTAATAGATTGGAATAAAAAATTAAAAAAAAATTTGCAAACATCAATACACAGAGAAATATTGTCTTATCAAAATTAAGACACTACGACAAATTCAGCATAATTAATTTAAATGACTAATTCTAGGCTTGTTTACCAATTGACTGATTTCTAGGCTCATTTATTCAGGTTAGTAACAATTTGAATTCAATTGATCAAAACATAACACTTTAATTTTTTCTCCGTTTGCTTTTCCAATTAAAGCCTATTTGATTTCAAATGGTGAAATACATTTCATCGAAAATTTATAAATTATGTAAAGTATGAAAATTCTCCAAGCATTAAAATATTTTTGTAAAAAAGATCTTTTTGCAAGAATTATTATGCAAATGAAGGAAAATAAACAAGAAAATAACCCATAATAAAACAAGTAAAAAAACTTATATTTGATAATCAGTAAGTATAAAAATTGACATTTAAGAAATGATATGTGAGCAAAAATAAAGAAAATAATATAGAATAGAAATTAAATGTATCTAAAAATTAGTACTCAATTAGAAATGAAATCAACATTGAGGTTGTAATTGTTATTAAATATAACTACAAATTTCTAATCGCTTGAATTAGTAAGTAATTTTAAAGAAGCCAAAAAAAATCTCTAATCAAATACTAACATTAATGTATAAATTTTAAGAAATTTTTGATTAAATGAGTTGAAATATTGGGATAAAATTAGGCGAAATGTGCAGACAACGAATAATTAACAGAATTTAGTAATAAGATTAAATAAATGAATAATAT